TGGCCTCCAACCTAAGAGCCATGGCCTCCAACCTAAGAGCCATGGCCTCCAACCTAAGAGCCATGGCCTCCAACCTAAAAGCCATGGCCTCCAACCTAAGAGCCATGGCCTCCAACCTAAGAGCCATGGCCTCCAACCTAAGAGCCATGGCCTCCAACCTAGGAGCCATGGCCTCCAACCTAAGAGCCATGGCCTCCAACCTAAGAGCCATGGCCTCCAACCTAAGAGCCATGGCCTCAAACCTAAGAGCCATGGCCTCCAACCTAAGAGCCATGGCCTCCAACCTTAAGTTTTCCAAATCATCAGTGCCACCGCGAGCTATCCTGCACTGCTATGGCCTAAACCCCCCAGGCGCGACAAAGCTCCTGCTAGCCATAGCTACTACCTGTATAGCTATACCTCTTTGGCCTACCCCCCCCAAAAAAATGAACGTCTTTGATATGAAGTACAATGACGTGCCAGCTTCAGCTTCTCAAAGACAAGCTGCTTTAAACCTTGTCGCATCGCTCTTGTCCAGGCATATTCCGCATCGCTCGTCTTTTTCGACTGGTGCGTGTTCTCAAAGGTGGGCCAGACAAACAGAACAGAAAGGAAAGGCAAAAGAGAAACGAGACAAAGCAACAGAAAAACGGGTAAGTCGTTAGGAAAATAATGCATTTTCTTTGTTTGTAGTTCGAATTAACTTTCTTTCAAAGCAAAGAGACAACAGAGAAAACGATCTGCAGGACCGAATTAGGATTGTTAGGACGACAAAGAAAACTCAATCTGCCAAGGTCTTAACAAACTGCTCCTTGCCTTTGCACCTTCGAAAGCAAAAGGAGCAAACGGTGGTGAAGGGGAAGGGCAGGGGAAGAGTATTTGAACGTCATGTAGCCTTCAAAAGCATTTAAACTAATGCTTTTGACATGCACAATTGCGTGCCTCAGCTGTTGAGGCCTTGTCTGTTCCGAAGCTCTTCAACGTGGGCCTGGTTTACAGCTGAAATTCACCACTGAAGAACATGTTGAATGAACATCAGCCACTTAAGAAGTGAGCGGAAACGAGTGGAATGTGTTTGGGATGCAGAAGATCCTGGAGCATTCTCTTAGGTCATGGTGTTGTTGCTTTACCTCTATGCGGTGCTCGGGGTGAGTCTTTTTGCAAAGGCAGGTTAGAAAAGAAAGAAAGAAACTACTTGGAACACCCCACTAGTAGGTTGGAGGCTATCGCTCTTAGGTTGGAGACAGGCAAGTAGTTTCTTCCTATTAGGAACGAAAAGAAAGGAAGAAACAACTTGTCTCCCTATGGCCTGCGCGCCCATCGAGTTCAGATTCAGACGCATGCACATTTGATAGGTGGCTTATACAGGCGTCGGAATTTATGGTGGCTCGGCTTTTTAGAAAGACACTATGTATTTTTCCACAATTCGTGTTGGTCCATGGAATAAATGTGCGAACACTTGCTATTCCATGCCACTGAAATGTGGATTCGTCAGGTGATCAAGTGTAGCAACGCAATTGTATGAAATTGTTCTGTTTAGCAATTGTAACATGTACAAGAGAGGCGTTGCAAGGCCTTGTTCGTCGACAAAGTTGGTGAATTATCAAGTCTGAAATCTTCAGCCCTGTCTTTGTGAAGCGTTGGCAGTGGAGTCAGCTTGGTCCCAGCTTTGGGAAACTACTTCCATGTCTCCAACCTAAGAGCGATAGCCTCCAACCTTACTAATAGAGATGGCCTCCCAGGGTGCTCCAAGCAGTTTCTTCCTTTCCTCTTCTTTGGTCCAGAACAAGGCCCTCAAGCGAACTTCCGGACCTTCTTTCAGGCCGGATTTCGTCGCCCAATTCGGCAGTATGTTTTTCTTTGATTTGGGATGTTTCGTCAGTATGGATTAATCTCGCAGAGACCGAAAAATCTGCATAGGCCATTTCTCTCCTGATCCGTTCCATGACTGGCGAAGGCCAAGTGTCAACTTGCCGATGAATTCATTCAGAGTCGGGATGAGAGTGCTTTGTTCTTGTCATGTTGGAGGCCATCGCTAGTAGGTTGGAGGCCATCGCCACTAGGCTTTCGTTCTTTTCTTCCCAGGCATTCTTTCAGTCGAAATCACGAGTCTTGAAACCTGCGAAGTTGTGCACAGTTGGTTTCTCGCCAAAAGTTGTTCCGGCAAGCTACTTGTTTTTGTCTAGTGCATCTTCTTTAAACTTTGTGCATATTTGGTAAGACCTTGAAGAAGCAGGACATGACACAGACACACTCTGACATTGGTTTTTCAGTTAACTCGATTTGCAAGTGGAAGAAAGGCGAGAGAACGGCAAGGTGAAAGGTCCAAGCACTTGTAGATGTTTTAACAAAAGAGTTTCTCACGTGACTGCGGAAGCGAATGACGACGTGGCTTCAAACCAGAGCGGAGGGAAACCTGTTTTGGGGAAGGTAGCGTGAAAACCACGATGGAAACAACGAACAGCGGCCGAGGGAAACCAGTGGAGTCAGTGTGTTAGTCGCAGGTACGCCAGACTGATCAGGTCTGGCTTCACTGCCAATTGCCAGCGTCTTCGTTGGCAGGAGACTTGCAATGGCACTCCTGCCCCCTGCATAAAAAGAAATGAGGCGGTCGAAACTCTTAGGTACGGAGGTTGACGCACACACGAAGCCGATTCCGGCGCACGTGGAACTGGTGGCAGTTGTTTTCTGTGACTTCAAAAATCGCTCGCAGTGTCTTGCTGCAGGTGCTGCTTGTGGAGGGAAGGTGTAGGCGTAGATGGCGTGGAGTCGGGAGGCTAGGCCCGACAAGGTGAGTCGTTGGCTGCCTGCGCTTGTGGAGTCCCGCATTTTCCAGGCTAGCAACGGCGCTTGGCAATTTTGAGCAAGGGGACATCGGTACAGTAGTCGGTGAGGGTTTGAATGGCAGGGTGTGAGAGGAAATGTTCGTTGTGCACGATGAAGCGGTTGTCAACGTAACGGTAGTAGGTAAAGTGTAGATCGGTGTGGTGGAGAAGGTTGTTGTGTAGCTGGTCACGAGTGTTCGATCAGGGTGATGGCCACGTTGCATAGGGCTGGAGACAGCTGGGAGCCAATCCCATTTGTTGTCCTGGCTGGAGTGGTGCCGGGTGGAAAAAGTGGATGGATGGGTGGTTCCTGAGGTTGCGGGTCTGGGTCAATGGTTGGATCATGCAGGTAGGCCCTGGCCGGAAACCGGCCGATGCTGTCGACGATGTTGAGGGCTCGTCGCACTTGTGTCTCCGCGACATTCATGTGTGCGCTGTACCGGCTCAAAAGTTGGCTGATGGGAATGGGAAGGTCTTGTTGAAACGGGTCGTGCCAAAAAACGGCGTTTCTTGAAGGGTGTGGAAAGTGTGTAGAGTTTGGTGGAGTGCAAAACGATGGAGATTGAGGTCGGTAAGTGTTGCCAGTAGAGCGGCTCCCGGTTGCTCCGAATATGCCCAGCTCTAAAAGGCAGTGTCAATGCCTTCTGCGGGTGGGGTAGGTGCGCTCACTGCACAAACGGCAGTGGGAAGCGGAATGTGCAAGTGGAGTTAGACACGAAGGGCGGCAAAATGGCTGCAGAAAGAACAAGAAAAATAAGAAAATAGCACTGAAAACAAACGCTGAAAGTCAGAGATGGTCAAGGTAGTGAACAGTTTTGAAGCTCTCGTAAAAAACGACTGTCGGTCGTGGAGCTGTGTTTTTCCATGGTAGCTGCTGTCGGGCTTCCGAGGGGTGAAACCTAAATGGTGAAAAGAGGGAGCTAACTTGCTGTCCGATGGGCTGCCGTTGCCTCTGCTACACTCTGAGCTATGCGTAAGATAGCTTCCGTAAGTGTATTGGTTTGGGCATCGCTGATTGGCGCGGCTGGGAAGAGGTGGAAACAAAGGTTGTGGCGCAGGTGGGCGAGGTGGAGGTGTTGGTAAGGGCGGAAACGGGCGATGGAAGTGAGGTCTGCCAGAATGTCGGTGGCTAGCTGCAGGAGATGGTGAAGTTGTGTAAGAGCCACTGTAGTGCGTTGAAAAAGACTTGGAAGTCCTGTGTCATGGTTCATTGCTTCTGGTCTGGCGTCTGCGGCAGCGGCAGTGACGGCGCGACGCTCATGAAGATGAAAAAACAGAATTGCACGCAGTGCGAAATACGGAGCATTGAATTACAAGGATAAAATTCGCGCAGGTCAAATCGAAGAATCAAAAAAAGAAACCTCCAATCAAGGTAGTTCCTCGCAACAATCCCAAGCCATCGGGGAAGAATCCTAGCAAATCCAGGCAGATCTAGTTACCTCGTGAACGGATAAACTGTCCTTGGATCAAAGTAGTGGCGAGCATGCAGAGAGACTGAATTACGCACAGTTGCATGTAGTTATAGGTCAGGAGTTGTGGCGTTGGCTGACCATGCAAGGCCTTTCACAATCGCATTGTGAGGGTGGATGACTGTTGGAGCAAGGTGGCGGCGTGCTCTTCGCCGCCGTGGGTAAATTTGGTGCCCGCCCCCCACGAAACAATCACGGAATGAGCGTTCTTTGCCAAATTCCATGTGTTGTAGAGCATGCGCGCCTTGCGCAAAAAAGCCGGGGTTGTGGGAAAAGTGGGAGGGTGCTGGGGAGAAATCTGCCTCGTTGTAGAACGCTTGTCACATTGCCCACAGGACCAGTATGGCCTGCGTTGATGTGGACAATTTCTGGAGAGGTGGAAGTAGCACGAGTGGCCGCAAGTGGAAAGCGTTGGTGTGCCTTGTGAGAGAGTGTGGGGATGGAGATGTGGTTGAAGTGAAAAAGGCCATATTGTTCTGAGGTGGGGTTCCATTTGATGTGTGTGAATTGACGGTAATCACACACTAGCAGGCGAGCAATGTAGGTGTGGTGAGGTTTGTTTGGAGTGTCGAATTGTGCTGCGTGATTTGGTTGAAATGTAGTGGAGCTGTCCATTTGTTGAGGACGTGTCGGACACTGGGATGGTTGGGGTAGGTGCTCTGTGGGTTGGCTGAAGAAGAGTCGTGGTGCAAGAGGTCAGTGTTGGGGATCAGGGAAGTGGCTGGACGCGGCTGCGGGACAGAGAGCGGCTGCGTGAGTATGAAGAGTAGGTGTGAGAGGATGAGGGATGGCGGCGTGAAGATGTATGGGTGTGAGAGCTGCGTGGTGTTCTGTGGCTGGAGTAACGGTCAGAGTGGCCTCTGCGATGGTGATGCCGGCGTCGCCTGCGGCCATGGTGTCGATCGCGCTGATCCTGCTGGAGTGGATGGGGGTGGCTTGGCTGTGTCTGTAGTGGCTTCAGTGGAAGGTAGTGATGGAAGGGCTGGATGCTCGGTAGAATCAGGTGGAACTGGTGCGGGAGCTGTGGATGGTGCTGGTGTGGATGTGGCGGCAGCAGTGGGTGCAGTGATGGCAGCCTGATCTGGCTGTACAACTGGTGGGAAAGCCGAGAAATTTTGTTGCTGCCAAACACCTTGCTGTGGATCCCATGAGAATGTGGTGGTAAACTGCGTGGGTTGTTTGAGTGGTGGGGAGAGTGCAATGGGTGCAGGATGTGGTGCTGCTGTGGGTGGTGGGGAGGAAGTGGGCATAGTCACAGGTTCCGGTGTGGAGAAATTGTAGGTGACAGGAAAAGTAGGTGTTGGATGTGGAGATGGAAGAAGAGGTGGTGGGAGTGTTGGCTGAAATTGAGGTGGGATGGGATGTGGCCATGTTGGCTGTGGTGGCATGGTGGCTGGAGGGTAGTGCGTGATCGCTGGTGGTAGATGTTGTGGAATGGGATAAACTGGTGGTGGTGGAGTCGGTTGAGGAGGTGGTGTGTAAGGATACGGCCAGGGAAATTGCATCGTCTCTGGCAGCTATGGCGCCAGCGCGGCGGAGCGGCAGCTGAGACAAGAAAAAGTCAACGTGGAGGGAACTGGAAATCGGTGTGAGAAAGAAAAATCTGCATGAGTGGAATCAAACAAAGATTGGGCGGTAGTGTCTCTGGCCCCAAAATGGTCATGGCTGAAAACGTGGTGCTGTACACACTTGAAATCGAAAGCAAGCTGCGAAAATGCATGAAAACAGAAATGTCAAGAAGAAACAGGTGGGTATTATTCCGTGAAGCCCGGCGGCGTAAGTAGCAGTGAATACAGTGGTGAAACCAAATCAGTTAAGAGAAGTCAAAGCACGGTGGAAACGGTGGAGTCTGTTACACGAATTCCGGAGTGGAAACGGCGCCTCCTTGCGGAGGATCACACCCAGCGCCCAAGTGGGACGACTGAGCGAGTCACACTCTGACATTGGTTTTCAGTTAACTCGATTTGCAAGTGGAAGAAAGGCGAGAGAACGGCAAGGTGAAAGGTCCAAGCACTTGTAGATGTTTTAACAAAAGAGTTTCTCACGTGACTGCGGAAGCGAATGACGACGTGGCTGCGAGCGGAGGGAAACCTGTTTTGGGGAAGGTAGCGTGAAAACCACGATGGAAACAACGAACAGCGGCCGAGGGAAACCAGTGGAGTCAGTGTGTTAGTCGCAGGTACGCCAGACTGATCAGGTCTGGCTTCACTGCCAATTGCCAGCGTCTTCGTTGGCAGGAGACTTGCACAATGGCGCTCCTGCCCCCTGCATAAAAAGAAATGAGGTGGTCGAAACTCTTAGGCACAGAGGTTGACGCACACACAAACACATCCATGTGCATTAAACTTATTTTGAAAATGTATTTCTCTTTTACCTTTTTCTTTCACCTTTACTTTCCCTTGGGTGAGCTCAGCAGCCTTGGCCCCAGTCGGTCTGTCTTCCAACGTTCTGCTATAGCAATGGCCTCCAACCTAGTAGCGATGGCCTCCAACCTAACAGCCAAACAGTGTAATGAGTTTCAATTACTTCGATATGCTGTTCCATAAACACCGTGAGCCAGAGAACCCAACAGCAAAGCGACAAAAAACACACGGGTTCTTTTTTCAACATGTTCATCGCAGTGTCCGGCTTCACGTTGAAACCATCAACTCCCTCCAACCAAATAGCAAACTACATCAGACCTTTCTGCCTTTTCTTTTTTCTTTGTTTCGAGTAGCGATGGCCTCCAACCTAAGAGCGATAGCCTCCAACCCTTCTCCTCCCTGCCCCTAAATGACTATGCTGTGGCTATCAAATCTCTTCCCTGTCATTCACAACGCTCAGTAGCATGCATTCTCTCACTGTCTCTCACTATCTTGCCCCAACCCACACCCAATTTTTTAGGACAAACGGATCCAACATTGTCCTGAAAAAACACACCCGTCCCAAGTTCGGCGCGTCCTTTTTTGCGTAGCTTCCCCGCAGCTCGAGCGCGCAGGGTCCCAGCATACCTACTCCACGGGAAGAGTATCCAAAACGAGAACCCAAGCATCTTGTGAAAACAAAGACATATTCGACTTCAGCTTGTCAATCAAGGGCGCTGAGTGTCACCGTCCAGCTCCAGGCTTGCCACAAAAGGTGAGTAAGTGAGTCATCCGATGGAGTCGTCAGTCACCTTCACCTGTTCTCCAACTGTCGCCTGGGTCAGATTACTCCCACATTTAAGGAGGACAATTCCCTTCGTCACAATTCCCGCTTCTGATACCTCACCGATGTTTCCTTTTCGTTCCCACCACATGCAACCACCAAAGGTGTGCTCTACAAGCTACCACTGAGTGGACCACTTCGATCTATCACTTCTGCTTTGTCACCATCTTGGGTCCACGTGCACCTTTTTCTGCGCGGTTGCTAGTAGGTCGGAGGCCACCGCTAGTAGGTTGGAGGCCATCGCTATTAGGTTCCTTTTGCTATTAGCTTGGAGGCCATACTTGGACCACTTCTGTCAACATCTTAGGTCCACCAGGGGCTACCTGGTCATTACCTCTCACAAACGGCCTCTTGATTGGTGTGTCGTGTGTTCCCAACGACAAAATGAACTTCTTCTGCCACAAACTTGAAGTGCTTTTTCTGATTCTGTACTCGCTTAAGTCTAGCGCAAATGCAATACATGCAAGTCTAGGTGTTCACCAAAACACTTGAAGAATCACCGCAACGCAGGTACACGGTTAGTTTCGGAATGTCTGAGAAGTCCTCTTGACAGACACAAGGAGCCAGTCCCCTTGTTGAATGAAAAGGATTTAGTCTCTTTTCTTTCTGTCTTTCTCTTTAGACCTTGAGATTTCACTTTTCTACCTACTTGCGAGGCCTCCAACCGAATCACATCTTTGTGTTGGGTTACTTTTTACCATGCATCCCGTTTGCATCCGCTGCCTCCTCCTATATACTCCTCACGCCAATTCATCTCACACCAACTCAACTCATTCCAACTCCACTCCATTGTTTCTAATGAAAGGAAGTTTGGGGCGCAAAACTTCCGTGTTACGGACTTTCAAAAGCTATTACTACAACTAACTAACTAACTAACTAACTAACCAACTAACTCACTGACTGACTGACTGACTGACTGACTGACTGACTGACTACTTACTTACTACTTACTACTTACTACTTACTACTTACTACGACGACGACGACTACTACTACCTTACTACCACTACTACTACCACTACTACCACCACCACCGCCACCACCACCACTACTACTACCTACTACTACTACTACCACCACTACTACTACCACCACTACTACTACTACCACTACTACTACGACGACGACTACTACTACGACTACTACTACTACTACTGCTGCTGCTGCTGCTGCTACTGCTACTACTACTACTACCACTACTACTACAACATACAACATACAACATACTACTACTACTACTACCACCACCACCACTAGTAGTACTAGTAGTACTACTACTACTACCACCACTACTAGTACGATTATTACTACTACTACTACTACTACTTCTACTACTCAGCTTTAGCTCCAGTCAGCTCTAGCTTTGGTTAGCTCGTGGCAGGCACAGTACTGGGTGAACGTCGAAGTGCAGATTTCGTGGCAGGCACAGCACTTTGTGCACCTCCATGTGTAGATTTCTTCGCAGGCACAGCACTTGGTGAACCTCCATGTGCAGATTTCGTGGCAGGCACAGCACTTGTTGAACCTCCATGTGCAGATTTCGTGGCAGGTACAGCACTTGGTGTTACATGTTTTGATAAGTCTTGCAGAATTGTTTCGTTTTGCAGGTCTTCAACATGCATGTTGGAATCGAGAGAAAATGCATGCTTCCGTGTTACGGACTTTCCTCAGCTCTAGGTCTAGTTAGCTCTAGTTCCAGGCAGCCTTGCGTGTTGTGTTACTGGACACGTAAAGTTTTTTGGGACACTCCTATAGGTCAAATGGTTTTTATAGGAAACTTCCGCCGCCAGCTTGCCCGGGAACTGCTTGTAGTTTCTCGTTACTAGTCGTATGGCCAGGAGCCCCTAGTAGCTCGTCCTTGCATCCACTCCACTCACAATTCGGCTATATTCGGCTGTGGTCGGCTGGTCTCTTGCCGGTCGCTACGGCTCCTGCGCTGTTTTCTTCTGGTCTGTATCGGGGACTGCTGCTGCAGACCAGAAACAGGAATCATTCACAACTCGACGAATCAAATACTTCTATGGGGTGTTGATGCAAAAACGCTTTAACTATTAGGTATCGGTATGAGGTTGATGTAAAAAGTTTTCCCGGCAAGAGGAACTTTTTGGTCTGACTGGTCCTGCTCAGAGCACCGATGCCTGATCTCTTGTTTCGCTCGTTTTTTCCTCTCTTTTTTTGGCTTCTAAATGTTCAAACAAAACACCACTTCAAAATTGGAGCCCGGGCGTATTTGTGAGCGGGGGCTCAGTGCCACTGTTTGTTTGAATAAGCGATTCATACCTAATTACTAGGTAAAGGAACCTAATTGCAATGGCCTCCAACCTAATAGCAAACTATATTTGACCTGTCGTCCTTTTCTCTTTTCTTTGTTTCTATTAGCGATGGCCTCCAACCTACAAGCAATGGCCACCAACCTAATAGCGATGGCCTCCAACCAAATAGCAAACTATAATTGACCTGTCGTCCTTTTCCTTTTCTATTTTTTCTATTAGCGATGGCCTCCAACCTAGAAGCAATGGTCTCCAAACCAGAAAACCTGAAGGGAATTCGCTGAATTTGCATCTGACAGGGTTTCATTCACACTGGTGGTCAAAGTTGCGATTAGGATGGAACTATATCATGCACGACTTGAGCAAGTCCCAATGGTACTATGAAAGTTTGGACCCGAACGATACAGTTTCACGTACTATGCAATTGAACGGCGGCCTAGGCGTTCTGGACAAGACCTGCAGAGCCTGATGCCTAGATTCAGATGTGATGAAAGGAAGGCCAGATGTTGGATAACGCGTTTACGCAATTTTTGCCCTCTGATTTGGTGCATTCTGTTAAGCCATGGAATTATTTGGACGAAATCGATAGCCCTTTCAGTTCTTTTGCTTCTTGTGCGCAAACTATTGATTGCGTTTGATATGGCATGCAACTCTTAAAGTCATAATTGAAGGGGACAACCTACTAGCGATGGCCTCCAACCTCCACTCTGTGGCGTGTCCGCAGCTTCGTTGCCGCAACGCTTTGCAAACACGTTGCTCCTGTTCCGTGTTTGCAGAGTGATGCGTTGCCAGCCCTACGTATAGAGATGCGGGTTTTGGGTGCAATTAACCCGTCTTTTCGGTTCAGAATCCGCCACTAACCACTTCAAACATCTTCAAACTGCTTAGTGTCGGCAGTCGTTTTCCTCCAGTATTGGCCCTTGGTGTTCTTATTGAGCAAAGAACATGTTATACTACAAGACAAACAACAATTAATTGTTAAACAATTAAGCATAAATATAGTTTTTCATTTGAGTTTTCTTCCCAAGGAAATGGATTTGGACAGTATGGATTTCGCTTCACTGGATCTGAACCAGGATGGTTACGCCAAGAGCTGAGAGCCAACGCATCATAAAACACTACCTTGCAGTGCTTCAGAAGACCTTTTCAGCCAGAGATAAACCTGAGATGTTGAAAGAACAAAGGAACGGTCTAAAAGGTCTAAAGACGGAAGAAGAAACGTGTGGAATACTAGCGGGCCAAAAAGATGTTTTCAATCAAATTTCGCCTTGCGGAACCACGAGAAAGAGAGCCCGGTCGCTCTAGTCGTGGTATCAGCAGGCCCCTGCCTAATGAATGCACGAGACTGCAGGTCGACGAGCCCACGGAATGTGGCTCTCAATTGGCGTTTATATACTTCATCTCGTGCGACAGACGGCAGGATCACATGGATCACTGAATTCTCAGAATCTGCAGAAAAAAATTGTTGACAGCCCTTGTTGTTCAATGTTGTTGAAACAAACTGACAATATTTTTGACAGCCCTTGGCCCGAAGCAGACCTCGGTGGTTGCGGTTGTGACTATTGTTGCCTTGTGCTCATTGGACGCTTTGCTGCTTGCGTGACAAAGGCCTTGTTTTCGGTGGCCTCAGGTGCCTCTACAGGTGCCATGTGAAGTCAGGTACACTATCCTGGTGAGTTTCGTGATTTTGAACCTCTTCATTGCCGTGATTTTTGAGGGGTTCGAGGAGAGTCGGAGACCAAGAAATGGACAGCGAATCAATTGACAGCACTCAAAGTGCTCTAACCTATCGTCCTTATCTTTTTCATTTGTTTCTATTAGCGATGGCCTCCAAGTTTTGTGCTTCGTTGAGGCCGGGGCAGTGAACCGATGGAAGCCGGAAACTTTGGTCTGCGCAAACGGAGCCGAACATCTCGAACGGTCAAGACAAGTGCCAAATCTGTGCGTCTTTGGAGAAGACAAGTAGCATAAGTCACACGAGTCACCAAAAGAAAGGAAGAAAGGACAGAAAGAAAGGAAGGTCTAAAGAAAAATCAAAAAGAAGAAAACGAGAACCTAAGAGCAAGGACGCTAAAAATCATAAGTCGCGTAGGTCGAATGTCAGCAAATCGCCAAAGCGCTGATTTCAACCCGCGAACACAAACAGAACCCAGACAGTAACAAGGTGCCACGCTAGTAGTAACAAGTGCATCGCTAGTAGTAACAAGTGCCTTACTAGTAGTAACAAGAAGCTAGTAATATTTTAATTATAGGAGCCTTTTCTACCGAATTCTCTGTCCTTTGCATCTGGTACCTAGGAGCAAGGACGCTACTAGGGGCTCCTGGCATCGCTACTAGGAGCAAGGACGCTTCTAGGGGCTCCTGGCCGCACTACTAGGAACAAGTAGCTACTAGGAACAATACTGAATAAGTTGAACGCATCATCTTCTCATTTTCAAATGAAACGACACGGATTTTGGTCAGAAGGCGCTCCGCATGGCCGTGCGTGGCAGGGCATCTACAGACCCCACTCATCAGCGAACGCTCATGTCGAATGATGAACATAGAAAGTATCATGTCATATATGTATATATGTATTTAAACAGTTCTATATTATTATATGTTTGTCTTATCTAAAAGCTTGGAGGGGTTAGGCTGGTAAGAGGAGCATAACGAGCAAGCCAACACGTAAGGAGTAGCTGCTGTTACTAAGCTTAATAAGTATAGCTACTACCTAGGACGCAGAAGCCTGAGCCTAATGATTCGCTTCCTGGATTCTTGGGGAAACTTAACTTAAGGCACTTGTCACTACTAGTAAGGCACTTGTTACTAGAAGTGATGCACTTGTTACTAAGGCTTCTCTTTTTAAGTCTATGAATTGGATCTGCATCATTGTGAACCCAACTGAGAACTAGACAAAGAGAAATACTGGACAGTGGTCCATCATACGGGCAAATCCAGTGTGACGAAACAGCATAGGTTTTTCTTTTTCAAAATTGTGAAGAAGAATATGTGTTTTTTTTTGAGTTTCGATTCAAACAAGAGATTCACGGAAGTTCACACCAAAGGAGTCTAAAGACTGTCCATTCAAGCTAATAGCGATGGCCTTTGAAGAATAATTCTATCGGAGCGCGGAACTTCAGTGCATGGTGGAAGGCCTCCACCCTAGTTGCGTCCTTGTTCCTAGTGGTAAGGCCAGGAGCCCCGTTCGTAGCGTTCTGTCCCTCCGGGCTGGAGTAGTGTCGGATTGGAGTCTCAACCACCATGCTTCGCAGAAGTCCAAGAAGAACGAGGTCTGCTCAAGGTATTCTAGTTACATACCAAATTATGCAGCAGCATATACTGAGTTGGGTTGGCATGTTCTCTGAATTTCCTTGCACTTATTTCCTGCTCATAGTCCAAAGTTAAAGATGTCCACAAATGTAAAGCTAGAGCGCCTGTGTGGAAACGCCCTTTGACTTGGGGAGCCAACCACCAATGGTTTATGAAACTACATTGTCAGGCAGGTTGTTCTGACAAATGTCTGAAAAAACGTGCAAAATTTGAGATTTTGAGATTGGTGGTGTGAACGGTACGTGCGCCTGTCCGCCCCAATGTCCAAGCGATGTGTTGATTTCCCAAGGTGATCACCAAGTGCTTGGAGAATTGGGAACGGCCAAGTGCTCAGATAAGGAATCTGAACCTTAAAAAGCCTTCGAAAGCTGTGCTGTCGGACTGGAGGCTACAGGAAATCTGAGGCCACTAGTAGATCTAGTAGCTACTAGTTAAGTTTCCCTGAAAATAGGAATCAAATCATTAGCGCGAGCTCTCCTGCGTCCTAAGTAGTAGCTACTTGTAGGTACTAGCGGCCTACCCCCCCCAAAAAAAAAGGTATACAAAAGCTACATATATATATATATAAAGACAAAAAAGTTATCTTCGCAGCAGAGAATCCATATTGCTCAGGTATGATCCATTCAACACCATGTACATTCCGCTGAGCAAAGCGCTGGACTTCATCGATGCAAGGGGCTCACCACCTTTTCTTGAAAAGCTTTTGGTTTAGAGAAAACAGAGATCAGTGTAACAGTGTTGCCACAGGAAATCAAGAGCCAACGGCCAATCCACAGGAAACAAGCAGCACTTCCACAGAGTCGAGTCGAGACCCCAACAGAGAGCGAGCAAATGCAAAGGCCGCTCTAACCTCCCAACAAGCAAAAAACTCTACCGAACGAAGCGGATAGGTTTGTTCCTAATAGCTTCTTGTTACTACTAGTAAGGCACCTGGTCTTGCTTGAAAGCTGCCCCGAGACGAGATGGCCCGAGACTTGAGACAGTGAAGAAGAAGAAGAAGAAGAAGATAGTATTCAGTTGTATTGATGAGGAGGGAGGGAGGGAGGGAGGGAGGGAGGGAGGGGATGTGCCACTTTGCTGACTTGAGAAGTTTTATTTGAGCTCGACTGGGAGTGAGCACAATAGCGGAGTCTCCACGAGCCCCTAACCTGGCAGGGCGGCGCCTGACGCAGAGCCGGCGTTTCGAGCGCAAGCAAACACGGAGCACGGCACGGTTATTCGTGCTTGAGGGCCTTTGAGCAAAGCATCCAGAGGTCGATCAAGTTCACAAACCCGGACAGACCTTTCTAAAGAGGGGAAGGACAAGAAAGGCCACATCTTCAAAGTAGTCCTGAGATGTTTTTGACCAGAGAGCTGAACTGCATGCTGCCGTGGTTTGAAGCACAACCTGAAAATGTGCCTGCTACATTGGATAATGAAGTGTCCAGAGCGTAATGTATGAGGTTGAAACAAACGTTGCAAGAGGCTGCAGTTGCTCAAGTTGTGTTGTATCACCGTTTCCTTGCGAGCTCAGGAAACTGTGGAAGAGCTGATGCACATTCCTCAGAAAAAGGCTTGGAAGCAAGGCCACAGTTTGGGCTTTGCGCGCACTGCAGTTAGGCGAGTCACAAACTTTCAGTTTTCAGGAGCGCAAAGCAACCGCAGAAGGGGCAATGCATTCCGGACCGCAAAAGAAGTCACAAAAAACATGCAGCAGAAGATCAATGTAGATTTCAATGGCCTCCAACCTACTAGCAATGGCCCAATGTAGATTTCATGCCCTGCTTACAGCTTCAATAGAGGAACCTCGCTGGGATTCGAGAAGCACCATCGCAGCTGGCCAAGAATTGTTGGCGGGAGGGAAATGAGGGAAATTGCAAAGCCATAGCGTTCTTGTGAAAAAGAATTTACATGAAGCCTTCTTACTAGCCTTCTTACTTTAGACCTTACTTTCTTCCTTTTCTTTTTTCTTTGTTTCAAATAGCGAAGGCCTCCAACCTAGTAGCAATGGCCATCAAGGACATGAATGCATCAGATGCCATGTGGTCAATGTGGCTCGGCTATGTGAACTTGGAAATTGCTTCTTCAAAAGACGTGTATTAGAAACAAGAAGCTATTAGAAACAAGTGCATCGCTACTAGTAACAAGTGC